TCTCTCTCTCTCTCTCCCTCCCTTCCTCCCTCCCTTCCTCCCTCCCTCCCTCCCCCAACCACTGGGGGGCCCTCGCCGCTTGCCGCGCCCTCCCTCCCTTGTCTGCCCGCCTTGCCGCTTGGTCGCTGACGTGCCCGGAATGTCGCGGCCTCCCTTGCGGGCCCTGGCCTCCCCTTTCCCGACGCTACGCATCCCCGTGACAGGGAGCGCCTCTCGCGCTGGGTCCTGCTTGCGGTGAGCGCCGATCCCGCTCGCGCGGCGGAGTTCCCCCCGGTTTGGCTGAACCTCCTAAACACCGGGCAGCCGGATCTCTACTACAGCCTGGCGCCAGGGCAACGCCTGTCCGTGTCGCGAGTGGTCCTCTGCTCGCACACGGGCTTCCTCACGGCGGCCCTGCACCATGCCGCGGCCGATCTACTGTGTCGCCCGGGCGAGAGGCCCCCGGCTGCCGAGGGTTCTTTCCTCCCGGACCGAGCGTTCTTCCTGGAGTCGACCGCCTACTCCAGCGTGCGCGTCTTCCTGGCGGACGGGGTCACCCCCTATCTGAATGTCACACAGCAGGCTCTGGCCGAGCAGCGAGCCCTGGCCGGGCAGTCGAACGCACAGCCGAGCCCCGCGCCGCCGCCGCCGCAGCAGCAGCAGCAGAGCCCCGCGGGAACCCAGCCCGAGTTAGACCTGAACTTCCTGCTGCTTACCTGCCGCCAGGACCCGCTGACTCACGACTTTGACCTGACCGATCTGGCACCGTACCTGAGTCCGCCCCTGCCGTCGCTCTTGTCGAGGCATGCTTGCACACAGCAGCTCATGCGGCCCCCGCGCATGGCCCCAGGGTGCGCCTAATGTCCCCCCTCCCCCCCCCCCCCCCCCCCCCCCCCCCCCCCCCCCCCCCCCCCCCCCCCCCCCCCCCCCCCCCCCCCTCCCCCCCCCCCCCCCCCCTCCCCCCCCCCCCCCCCCCCCCCCCCCCCCCCCCCCCCCCCCCCCCCCCCCCCACCCCCCACCCCCCCCCCCCACCCCCCCCCCCCCCCCCCTCCCCCCCCCCCCCCCCCCCCCTCCCCCCGTCCCCTTTTGCAGTGGACTCTGGCACC